TTTTTTTTGCCTAAATTTTCCAACTTGTTGCCCAAGAGCAGGTCCTTATCCTGTAATACTAATGGAAATTTCATCCACTATTTCTGCATTCTTTGGCAGTATTCTTGACTTTCCTTCTCTTAAGATTTTCTTTAAATCTATGTTATCATTTAAAGCCTGCTCTTTATACATCTAAAAACTATAGACTCTGTATTTTTAATCTTTACATTCTTATTGGTAGCACTGTTTGAACATGGTGACATAATTACTAAAAGGAGATATAAATACAACAAATGTAAAGAAACAAGACATAGTTCCCCATTCCCAACTGTATAACTCCTAGTATAGTCAAGTCAGCTTGTTGACCAGGCATCTCATCTCCCGACTATGTAGTGGAATGTAGAAATAAATCAGAATTCTCTGTTCAGAAATTTGGTTCATATTTACTAGAAAGTATATGTTAAACAAACTAAAAGGTATCTTTGTTTTTGCCTTTTCTCAGTTGCCAATTCTCCACAATCAATAGAATCATTATATAATGCAAACATGTACTAATGAAAATTTTTAAATGTTCCTGATCAAAGAGAAAGGATGAAAAGGCAGTTAAGTTTTTTACCTCTTCAGGAATGTGACTGCCAAATAAACAGAAAAAAAAAGGAAATTCAGTGTTCTACATTTTTTTTCCTGTGTTAAGTTCCAAAAGAATGCAACCACATCATTAGGTATTGAAGTGACATAACTTTAGTTTTTAAACTCAGAACTACAGAGGGATTAAAACTCAGCATAGGAAGGGATTTAGAACAACTCCATGGCTTAAACTTAGACAGAATATAGAAAGATATCTCTGACATTATGCTTTTAAGTAGGTTTGGGTCAGCAGTCTTATACATGAGCAGATCCCCAAACCCACAGGTCTACAGTAACCATATGTAGCAAAGTCAGTCATCAACCTTCCCTTCTTCCCACTGGCAATGTGAAATGTGGATTAAGAGAGAACATCAGCTTGTGTGATGGCAGTGTTTTAGGTGAAGCAAGGGTAAGGAACTAATCAAAGATCATCTCTTTTAAGAAATGACAGTGAAGGTAAGATATCTAAGCTGAGCTTTTCAAGAGGGCAGAAATTAGGTCTTCACATATGACAATATGCGGCTTTGTATTAATTGATCCATGAATATGTTTAATTATCTGCACGTTTCTTATTAGTCATAATCACTTCAGTAGTTACTATCTATTAAATGTGTGCTCTGTGCCTGGCACTAATTAGGTATTATACAAGCAATTTCATTTATTTTTCGCAACACTTTGAGGAGATAGTTATTATTTCCATTTTAGAAAAGACAGCTATAGCCACAGTAAGGTAAATCTGTCCACAAGTATTACTAAACTAAGAGTGAAGAAAGGACATCACATTACATAGCTCATTTTTTCCCCTGTGTAGCCCTAACCTCCCTTAGAATTAAGTGGAAGAATTTAAAACCAATCTAGTTAGTGTCAAGTTATCTCACCTGGAAAAAAAAATCTACATTCTTCTCAGGATGTCTAATGTCCTCTAAGAATCTTATAGGATGCTTTTTGTCTATGCACTTCTTTTTAACATGAGAAAATAAACATTTGCTTTGGTTTAGATCTAAAATGGCCCTCCAAAGCCTCATGCGCTTGGAGATGAGGACTATGGGGGTTGCAACAGCTGGCGTGCTTAAGGAAGTAGGCTCTGCTTAGAGTTGGGTCACTGGGACAGACCCAGAAGGATGTAGCTTCCTTTCTGGTTTCTCTCTTTATTCTGTTTTTTGGCAGTGATAGAATGAGCAGCTTGCTTCTGCCTGGTTGTTTCCACTACACTTCTTTTTTCCTGCAGCCAGGCAACCACGCAGGGACTAAAACTTTAGAAACTGTAAACCAAAATAAACCTCTGTTCCTTTAACCTGTGGCTACTGTGGCTCAGCATGAAGAAAGTGACTGAGATGGCACAGTAAAAGATAAGCAAATAATTTAAACTTTTTTCTAAAATAATATTTAGCATTTGTGGTACAAATCCAAACTTTAGCAAAGTTGGACTTCATACTTGACTGTATAGAATTGTGTAACCAAAACGTTGCTATGAAAACTTTCTTGGTGAGCTCTAACTTATGTATATCAAGTGGCTAAATGTAGTATCAACCAGTTAAATTATGAGCCTCTGTCACTTGGCACTAATAATAACAAATTCAAGGAAAGAGGAAAATATTACATTCAATTAGTTCAGAATTAGGAGAAGTTTCCCCCATGGCTTGAATTTAATGGATTAAAATAAGAGAAGAATAAAATAATAAAGGAACAAAAAGGAGAAAAAGGAAGTGTCCTTTTCTGCACTTTCATACCCTCACCAGAGCACAAAGAAGGTCAACTGCCTCCAAGATCAGTTCTTGATGCCCAATGCGGCTGACTCCAAGATCTTCTAGCTCCTGATGTGTAATCCGTAGCAGCTGGTCCCCGCTGATCTTCTCCCTCTCAAAGTTCTTAATATACTGCTGCAGACAGTCATCAAGACCTACAAGATAAAAGTATTGAAGACCACAATGAAAAAAGCAGTTGTGACAAATAAGCAAGGCAGGAGGTGCTAGCTTGAATCATTCTTGACTTTGGACTACTCCAACTAACCACCTTTACTCAATGTACATGTGGGGCTGCAGTGAAAAAGAAAAAAAAAAACTTCAACATATTCCTAGTAATAAAAATCCGTTTCAGTTTTCTTCAGACATCATTGAAAGTCTTTATCTTTCATCCCAGTAGCTTGCCTTACAAAACATGTTATCAGAATGATAAATCATAAAGCAAGCCAACAGATTCCCCTAATTTTAAAGTAATTTGTAACAAACTCTCTTCTTTAACCCCATTTCAGAGACAGATTTTTCTTATTACATAAGGTTCACTGTCTTTCTGTGCTCTACAATTCCATCTTTTGTCACCTTAATGCTGTTGCCAGAATTCAAAAAATCACTGCACTCCATTTGTTTCAAATATTTCCAATCATTGACTCCTTCTTTGTTTAAACCTATGCCAGCCTAAAAAACAAAGTATACAAAAATCCTTTGACTTCCTTGATTCTGTGTTCTCCATCCTCTTCTGGCCCCCTTAGTCCTTATTTGCTCACCTATGACACACTCCTTAATTTATTATTGCTTGGGTTCTACTCAAGTCCAAAAAAATCCATAAGTAAGCAATACCAATGCATTTTATATTCTTGAAACCATCTTTTTAAAGACTATCCAAGGCAATTCATAAATGACTGGTTAAATATAGCCAGTATTAGCTACTACATTAGCCTCAACCACCTATGAAATGGCCCAGCATACGTAAGGAACTGGATTAATATGATTTACTCTCTAGAACTGTATTAAAGAATACCAAGAAAAGGAAGCAACTGGCATATGCGAACTGGTCTTGATTATATCAAGGTAAGAGAAAAAAGGCCACATTGTGTTATATTCTAATTAAAATTAGAAGGAAGTAGAAATTATAAGCAAGTCAAGAAAAAGAATCGAGTTAGAATATATGTGTCAAGGAAACAAAGAACCATAACAAAGATATTACAGAAGTACTGAGAAAGGAAAAGACTAAGACTTAAAACCTGGTAGATTCTTTAGCAGGCCACACATGCCCTTACTAAACACGCAAACTTCTGTAAAGTAACTGGAGTCATCTGTGGCATCTCTATATTGTTCATTAGTATGTGAAAATCAATAAGAACTCAAATTATCTCTGGAGTTAGCAATATGAAGGGCACTTGTGATGTTTACAAGAATTTCACAGTGGTGGCAATAAAACAGCACTGAATGAGGTGAGGAGTCCTCAAAGCAGGCAGGCTATACAAGAGACAAGGTCTGGAACATGAGACTTGAAGAATATAGGATATAGAGTTGTTTTTTCTTTAATATGTTTAACATATTTTAAAAAATATTTAAGTGTACAACAACAACAAAAAAATCCCCACATGTATCTCTACTGAAAGATGAAAGATGATGGGTGCGAATACAGGAAGATTATGTAAAATGATGAGGGCTTCTCATCTAGAGTTTATGGACCCGTATGAATGTGTAAGGGTTCCATGAGCTATCTGCAAAGCAAAAACAAAGAGAAAGAAAGGAAAAAAAAATGGATAAACATGTACACTGGTAACATTACAAAAATGTGCTAAGTAGCTGAATAGGATCAGAACTGACTATAACATCATAGAACAAAGCACGACTTTTACTTTAAAGAGAAAACTGAAGTGATGAATAAGGAAAGAGATGAGGGAACTATGCAACAGGTCATCAGCCTGAGATACAAAATTAAATATGCCACAAACCTCAAGAAATACACTACCCGGAGGCAAAGACAGGAGTTATCCAAGAGTCATTATAATTTGATGTATTAAAGGAAATAGTGATTACAGTAAAAACAGAAAAAGATGGAGTCATTTAGGATGAGTACATATGGTGCAAAAGATAGTGGGCTCTAACAATTCAGGGATGGCCAGAAAAAGAGACATCCAAACAAGAGAACAGAAATAGATCAGAGAGGACTATGGTAACAAAGTAGTTATGACAGACAAATGTTAAGTGCAACACAGCATCCCAATAAGGGAAAGACTACGATCACTCTAAAATTTAGCAATTAGTCGATTATCAGTGATTTTATCCAGAACAGTATTAGAATACTGGAAATAGAAGCCAGATAGTATACAGAGTTGTGCAGCAATTGTGAAATTAGAAAGTGAAGGCCCTCATGTAGAACATTCGTTCAGAAAGTTATATTATGGCATTGGTGAGGAAGGGGAATAAATAGGGAGGTATGAAGTAGGATTGAAGGGACTATTATAAAAGTTGTAAAAATGAAGAAAGAAAAATAAGAAATTAGGTAACTCTTTAAATGTACACAGTAGGTGACTGGCAAAGGAAGGATTAAAACCAAGTCCCAGAGGATCCAAAGTCTAACATGTTTTGACACTATGAGACCATCTTAAGCCCTAAAAGTAGACTGGGCGTGGTGCCGTGCCCCTATAATCCCAGCTCTTGGGAGGCTGTAAACAGGCAAATCACTACGACTCTGATCTACTAGTGAGACCTTTAACACCCTGTAGACCCTTCCTTCCTTGAAAAACAAACAAACAAAAAAAGACTTAAAAGAAAAGATAATCCAACAATAAAGTGGATGTATACTCTGCAAAAGAAACAAGATAAATGAACACAGAGATACATAGTTATGAAAGTGAAGAAGGTATAACATAGGATAGTGGCTATTTAAATCATATTCTTCCTGTGTGAAAAATTTTTCAGACTACCAAGGACAAAATTCTATGGTACTATACTCTGGGGAATTAAATACTGTGCAGAGCACAACACTGGCATTCAATCTGAAGCTGCACTCAAAAGAATGGAAGGCAAAACATTGCACATAGCGTTTAGATAACACTGAAAATAATATAATACATGGTGACTGGTCTAAAAACTCCTCTTCTTCAAGTTCTCCAATATCATCCTTCATAATTTCTCTCCTAAAGCAAGAAGTTGGTCTATAACAAGTAGATATGATTTGTTTTCACAAGGATTCTCAAGAAAACCAAATAAAGTAGAAAAATGAAGGGCAATTTTCTTCCTGGCCTGTTCTCAGTTACTCTGTCCTAGTTTATTTTAGAAAAGGCTAATCTTATAATAGATGTGCTATTCCCAATGGAAGAGTTGAGAAAAGAGTAGTACCTTTCACTTATTTCTTCTATTCTTTGTGTCCCAAAGAACTACAACAAGCACAGTACAAATATTTTCTCATTTAATCATTAAAACTACTTTATGAATTGCATACAAATATCTTGGTTGTACATGGAAAATAATAAAATTGCACTCTAGGGATCATGTCTATAATTCCACACCTTGTAAATGGCTATGGCAAGGTCTAAAACCATGTTTATCTGATTCCAGATCTCTTTCCTAAAGGCTACATTAAACCAGAAATGAGAGGTAAAAAGATTATTTCTAATTCACTGAACCATTCTAAAAGTCATTATGCCAAAAATAACATTTTTCATTTAAAAACTTTAAAGATATTATTTAAATATACCTAAATTATGCCTTGTAATATAACACATTAATTATGTCATTCACATACAAAATTCATCAGAGCAATGCAAGTTGGAAGTAGATACTAGTAATATGATTAAGGGAAAACATGGGTAGTCATATAATGATAGACAAAAATAACAATACTACAAAATCCATTCCAAAGAATATTAGATGTGATAATATAGAAAAGAAACTGGTATATAGACTGTAAACTGTCTAGCAATAAATGTGAAGAAAGAAACTGGATCTATGATATAGTTTAAAATATCTGTTGAATAAATGGTAGTTTATTTGAGAATATAGCCAAAGGATTTCTCATGGGAAGAAATCCTTGTGTGAAGGAATGAACACTACCTTTAATAAGCCATTTTGCTAAACATAACTACAAGTCATAATGGAATTGTTTCTAATTGTGAAGATGAAAAATATTTTTAAAATACATTTTTTCATATATCAACTAATAACTGGTTGTCATATAGAAAATAGTTAATATTTACTGCTTTTAAAGATGTTACAGGGCCAGGCAGATGGCTCTGCGCCGGGGAGATGGCTTAGTGGAATAAGCACTTGCCTGGCAAGTGCAGGGACCTGAGTTCAATACCTGGTTCTGCCAAAAAAAAAAAAAAGTTACAATCTATAGCAGAATTTCTACATCCATAGAGAAAATAACTAGTAAGGGTTCTCTCTTATAATAACAAAACAAATAAAAGATGCCCTCTATTTGTATCATCTTTTGAAATTTAAAATCTCATCAACAAGTACCAAAATGTTTTGGACATAAATACTATACGTTCACTTAATACAATGACAATTTCAAATGAAAGTTTCTCGTGGTCATACTGATAATGAAAGCCACATTTACAGATTTGCTTTTTAAAAAGTAAAAGTTATATGAAGCAAGAGAAAAAATAGATAAATTAGATTTTATCATAACAAAAATCTTAAGGATCAAAGGAAACCACAGAGTGAAAAGGCAGTCCATACATGGGAGAAAACGTGGAAATCTTATATGTGATGAGAGGTCAATATCCACAATATATTAAAAATCTTATTACTTAACATGGATGACAAAAATTGGATTAGAATGGACAAAGAACTTATATAGACATTCTCCAAACTATGTATGCAGGCAGCCAATAAATACATGAAACTGCACAATATCATTAATCATTAAGAAAATGCAAATTAGAAGTACAATAATATGTTACCTCCTGCACATTAGATTGGCTGCTATCAATATAAGAACAAAGTTGAGTAGTAATGTTTGTTAAAATGTAAAATGACGCAGCTAAATGGTTTGGCAGGTCCTCTAGAACAAGGTATCACACATGGGAAGGAAGGAAGGAAGCAAGGAAGGAAGGAAGGAAGGGAGGGAGGGAGG